ACAGCTGAGTTCAAAATTACATGTATTTGATATCAGGGTTCATACAGGTCCTAAAAATCTGGAAAGTCCTGGATTTTATTGTGGCATTTTCCAGGACTGGGAAGTCCTGGAAAAGGCTACTGGTCTTGGAAAGTTCTGGAAATCTGTTAAACTCAAGTAATAAAATGAAATGTATGGCAGACAGTAAGGAGAATTAACAATGAGATCTTGGTAGTGAAAGGGTTAATGTGAATTTTAGAGTCCTGGAAAAATCAATCTGAGTCCTGGAAATGTCCTGGAAAAGTCCTGGAAATTTGTTTCTGAAAAAGGGTAAGAACCCTCGGTGCAGAGTTTAACCATTTTGTTCTGACACAGGGTATGTTTTTCACTATGGCTTGGCATTTGGGCATCCTGTTTACAAAGAGTTATTTTTTTGCATAAACTCTGGTAAATTTGTAGCCCTTCTCAAGTGTTTACACAAATAGAAGCCAATTCCGGTTAGCTTAATGGTCATATATTAGAGCCATGTACTAATTTCAGAGGTCTGAAATGGGGTATTGATTTTTCACTCATGTCTGAAATAGGGTATGAAAAATCACAGTTTGTGGTCTGAAACAGGGTACAGGTTTCAAGGTTTGGGCTGCACACCACCACCAATCACCTTTTTAAAACAGTTTCAAAAGAGTTCTTGGTAAAGATTGTGTTTGTACCCGGTGGCCCATTAGAGTGGCACTGCAGTATTTCTGGTTTCTGTAGCATGAAGGGACTAGGAGAATTTCTACTCTCCCTTAGATGGGGTGCTAATCCATTAGGGTTACCCCAAGGAATAAATTTAGTGGTAACCTTTTAGACCTGCGTGAAGAGAAGGACTGTGAAGGAGAAGTGTCTTGCTGACCGAGAAGAACATGACAGAAAGACCACAAACACAGGGCTGGGCACAAGGCAAATTGACTGGCTCTGCTGTGAGAATGATTTTCTCTGGCTGGTTTGAAAATCTATTTAGGGAAGTGTTTCTTAAAGTGTAGTTGCAGAAACTATCCATACCTCCCCAATGGAAGGGATTTTTTCCAAGACCCACCACCCCTCTGGAAATTCCAATTAAGCTTGATACATTTCTTTAAATGTTTTGGTCTTAGAGAACCCCCCACCTCTCAGGAAATTCCAATCCCTACATGTGGGGGGAGTATGGATATTTTCTTGAACGGCATGTTAAGTAGTTCACTGAGGTCAAAAAGGTTTGTCTGCTTGTGGAACCAGTTGTCCTCCTGCTGAAAATGTTGATGAAACCTTTGCAGACAGACAACCCAGTGGTATTGAAAATTGATGAAAACCAAATTTGAAATTTGATGACAGTTAACATACTAAAAATACACAATTTTCCTTCATATGTGATTGCATAACAATATTTCCAGTGTTGATTAATCAAGTAGCATTTATTGTGCAGTGCCAGAAAATATCCATACTCCCCCCACAGAAGGGATTGGAATTTCCTGGGGGTGGGGGTGGGGGGTTCTCTAAGACCAAAAAATTAAAGAAATGTGTAAAGTTTAATTGGAATTTCCAGATGGGTAGGAGGGGGATCTTGGAAAAATCACTTCCGTGGGGGAGGTATGGATATTTTCTGGAACTACGTATGGGTTATTGACCAAGTGTGAGGTCAAGATGGCTGGATATTGGTCAAGTTCTTTTTTTGTGAGTTTATGGACCGAGATGGAGTCAAGGTCCATTAACTTGCAAAAAAGGAAAGAGGCCAATATCCAGCCATCTTGACCGAACAACCTAGGTCAATAAAGGATTTATTATATGGCTTTCAGGGAAATTTTTCTTGCGGGGCATGGCAGGTAGTCCCA